TCAGTGCGACAGTAGCAGACAACTGTTTGTGTCCCACAGTGCACTATATACCTGGAACTTACGAGAGCAAGAAGCCTCTCTTATCACAGCTGGCTGCAAAACCAGTAAAACTTCATTTTGTCAAAATATAACCTACCTGAAACCCTTAAGTAATGAGAAAGTAGACTTCCGCTATAGATATGTATATACACAAAAATGGCAAAAAAAAAAAGCAACCATTTATCAGGCTTATAGTGAGAAAAACAAAAACAACCCCTTTTACCCCCCACCCCAAAACTACTTATTGGGCATAATAAGCCTGAGGGCTGAGGTTGTAATACGTAACATTAGAATTACAAGTCTATCTAGTGACAACAATATTAAAAAAAACAAAATCTCTCAAAGCCCTGATTAAGGAAAAACCAATGTCCCTAACATATAAGAAAGATTTCATTAACTCTACTGCTTATACTTACCAAGGCAAGAAAGCAGATTGGTATATTTTACATAATTTTTTTCAATAGCTGGAATGAAACTAAAGTTTACCCGAATCACAATTAACCAATTCATCAGATTCTCAGCATTCCAGCTAAGAAATATTTTCCTGTGCTTTAGCATAATTCAAAATGCCTGTTAATTTTCCCCAAAATGACTCCCACACACAGACTTTGACACCTATGAACCAGCTTATCACTTCACCAGCACTTTTAAACTTATCCATCCTGCTAAGGAAAGTTCTAAACTGGAAATGAGTAGAAGCAGCAGACCAAAAGTGGCAAGTGACTCAAAATCCCCAGGAACTGCAATAGTTGTGTAAACTGCTTTTTCTCCTCCCTTCCACCATTTTCCCAAATAAGAGGAGAAGTGTCATCAAAGCAGAAGAGAAAGTTCCTCTTTACAAAACAGTTTCTGGAGGGCAAGTAAAGATTAAGGTGGGGAGGCAGAGGGCTGAAATTTGCTTCCTTGGTGTAGAAATCTGCTATGTAACTATTGGATAAGATCTTCATTTTTGTATGATAGCATTTAATACAGTTTTCATACAGACCTACACAATATCCTAGTGAAGGCGGCATATTTCTCTGGGTTAAAATCTTTGGCGGTCAGAACAATAGAAAAATGAGTCACCTGTCCAAAAGAAACAAAAAAGTATACTTTTTAAAGACACTTTCACAGATTTAATTTTTATTACTATATTCTAGCAAACCTCTGTACAAGACAGACCGGCATTAAAAGGAAAAGATCAAAATGTAACCAAGTTTTCACTTGCTTCTTTATACTTTTATGCTTATATACACATGCATATAAATGACATATACTTATATATACATAAATATTTAACTTCCTAGATAAGAATGTAATACTTTCAGAGTTAAAATTTTTTCAAAAATGCAAACATATTTCAAGTATCAAAAATGTGAGTTTTCATTTCAAGTCCCCTAACCTCATCAAAGCAGAATTAGAAATGCTATTAGACCTACCAATTTATCAGCTATTAATTAATGAAACAGAAGGATAGAAAACAAAAATACATACAGTAAAAATCACACAGTTCCTTGGGGTGCCTGGGTGGTTTAGTTGGTTAAGCGTCTGCCTTTGGCTCAGGTCATGATCCCAGGGTCCTGGGATTGAGTCCTGCATTAGGCTCCTTGCTCAGCAGGAGCCTGTTTCTCCCTCTGCCTCTGCCCCTCCCCCTTCTCGTGCTCTCTCTCTCCTCTCAAAGAAATAAAATCTTAAAAAAAAAATCACACAGTTCCTGAAATAGTCAATTCTCTGTAGAATGCCATATAGTCTAAAGGATTATTACAAGAAGCTTCATTTATCTATATGCCTCTATTATTATAAATATCAATTTCTGCTAATATATACCTATTATTTCCATTAATGGGACAAAATTCAGAACATTATAAAAAGTAAAGCATTTAAGAAATTTATGAATTTAAGAAAATTATTCATTATGAGTAATATGATTTTTAGAAAGCATATTTTGAAGTGTAAGAACTATCTCTACATCTTGCTATTTTTCAAATCTGAAGAACAGATTTGAAATCAATGTTGTTATTGTTTGGCAGACTACAGGCAAAACATAGCTAAATCTACTTGAGGATACATTAAGACCTCTCAGCAAGAACTTAATGAACATAAACCAAAGCTTTTTTTTTTTTTTAAGATTTTATTTATTTATTTGACAGAGACACAGCGAGAGAGGGAACACAAGCAGGGGGAGTGGGAGAGGGAGAAGCAGGCTTCCCGCAGAGCAGGGAACCCGATGCGGGGCTCGATCCCAGGATCCCGGGATCACGACCTGAGCCCAAGGCAGACGCTCAACAACTGAGCCGCCCAGGCGCCCCTAAACCAAAGCTTTTATAACACAATGAAAACTATCTTTTTTGCAATTTACATTTTCTAGTTATGAATCTGTTTCATCTTAAACCTCTAGAATTCCTTATTTTTTTAAAGACTTTATTTATTTATTTTGAGAGAGAGAGAATGCGCATGTGGGGGGGGTGCTGCGGCAGAGGGAGAGAAGCAGACTCCCTGCTGGGCGTGGAGCCTGCCCTGGGGCTCGATCTCAGGACCCTGAGATCATGACCTGAGCCAAAATCAAGAATCAGACACTTAACCGACTAAGCCACCCAGGCGCCCCAAACCTCTAGCAGTTTTAAATAGTTGCCTTCCTGTTATTTTAAATGTAATTCCTTACATTTAAACTGGTATCTTGGACATGCTTCATATAGTCTGGTTATTGGTTATAAAAGCAGCCCTGGAAGGTAAAGGAAGTTCCCACCTAGGAACACGCCAGGAGTTTAGCCACTTTCTAATATTTCTTTTCTTTGAAAAAAAAGTGCTGGTTGCTTGGGATTAGGAAAGCCCACAATGACCACATACTGGTTTTCAACATGTCACATTGATACTGTTCGTATCAAATGACACACACAAAAAGCTTACCGAATACATGAGTTTCCTTAATTCTCCTTTCTAGTCTTAATATATCCTTACCATCCACAAAGGAAACAAGTTTTCTTAATTATGCCAAGGATAATTTTATCCTTTAAAATAGTTTTTCATTATAGAAAAATGCTTCTTTCCACTTTTATTAATCAGAGTCATGACTTTTAAAGTTCTTCTACATTTCTACTCCAAAAGAGTATAACCTGGAAAGGGCTTCACTATACCAACCACAGGGTCAGTCATATAATATACACCAACAAAAGTTTATAGAATAAATGAGTGAAACCTGAAAGGGAACATTCCCAATGAAAATCATGTTTAGTATTTTTCAAAAGCGTACGTGAATGATAATGTCAAAAGCTAAGAGTGACTGGAATAATGTGACATCACGTTAATTATTTTTGGTTGTTTGACCTTTATGCAGTCATACCTTTATCAAAACTGAAGAATCTGGAACTTCGACTGTTGTGATATAAAACCATGTTCTTCTGTACTGACCAAAGACGAAGGGATGGAGAAGTTTGCTCTCATCTGTAAGGCAGCATTTTCTCAGCAGTAAATTCCTTAAAGTAGCTGTCGTGGAAGGATAACACCACACCCACAGAACTTCTCCATTTGTGTCCTTTTCTACGGTGGAAAGATGGTCACTGTGAGAATGTCAAACAGCAGCAAGGAAGTGAATTGATTGGTTACTCAGAAGCACTTAGTGGAATCAGTTTTAACATCCCATTTTACAAAGCATCCCGGAGCACGTGTGACCCCAAATTCCCACCTACCTCTACTGGTCAAATTATCTAGCTCTCCTGATCTTGAGTTTTAGGCCACCTGAGTAAAAAGCTTTTATAACAAATCGTGAATGAATATTTAGCCTTACAGCTTTGGTAGAGGTTTTCCCCTTTACCCTTCCCCTCCCACACAAATTCTCATAAACTCATCATTATATTTTTATCTATTGAGAAGGATCTTTAATAAATACATAGGAAGGGTTTGTTAAAAACAAAACTGGGGATGAAGAAAATGGTGAAACGTTACTGCTTGTGCAAATTCTGTATTTAAAATAGTAATAATAATAATAATGGTTATGCCATCATGTATGTAGTTTCATCATCAAAGTGAACACCTCAATAATGTAGCCAAACTTCAGAAAAACAGTTATTGCACATATAGCAGGAAGGATGCAGACTTTGATCTACTCTACAGGTTTTAAAAAACAATTTTATTATGAAAAATACCAAGCATTTAGAAAAGAGAATTTTAAAAAATGAATTCCCTCATCTCCATCATTCAGTGCCAGCAACTACACACACCTGGCTCCTCCTCGTTTCATAAGGGGGAGAGAGAGCTCTCCCCCACCATTATTATTTTTTTAAAAGATTTTATTTATTTATTTGAGAGAGAGAGCGACCATATGAGAGGGGGTGAGGGTCAGAGGGAGAAGCAGACTCCCTGCTCAGCAGGGAGCCGGATGTGGGACTCGATCCTGGGAGTCCAGGATCATGACTCCAGCCGAAGGCAGCCGCCCAACCAACTGAGCCACCCAGGCGCTCCCTCCCCCACCGTTATATTGAAGCAAATCCCTTTTAAATCCGTGTCCACATGAAAAATACAAAACCTGCTGAATTTAAAATGATTATAAGTCATCTTCATCTGTTACCAGATAAAGTCAGAATTTAACCCAACCTCATTCAGAAGTACCTTCAAGTAGGACTAAGATGCCTGAAATAATTAGGTTTTGTTTTAAAAATCACACCAGAAATAAATACAGGAAGCCATTCCCAGATAAATGCACTCCTTTGAGACACTGAAAATACAGACAGTTTTGCTAAACGCAAGCAATGTTCTTCTACATTAGAGGAACAGAATGTTTCGGTGTTTGAAAAAATCTCAATAGAATATTATTTCAAAGGACAATGGCACGCAGGGAACCGACAGTCATTCAAGCAACCGGGCGCTCGCTGCAGCCTATGGGATGAATGGTTCCTTGAAACACCCAACCCTGAAACACTGCACTCGGCTCAGGCACACCCAAAGATCCCAACGTACTTCCTCAACCACTATTTCCTCAAAACTAACCGGGACCCCACCATATGAGATTGTGTGGGCACTCCGGCTACGTGCATGAGCTTTATCTTATGATGCAGGGTTCCTCCACCGGTACGAGTTGCGGCTCCGTGGCTAGGCTGCAAGGGTCCCAAACCTGGCTCCACCACTTCCTAGCGTGCGTCCGGCACAAATAGCACTCTGGGCTTCCATCTGCTTCTCCAAAATGTGGCCATCAAACATGACCTACACCCCCCGGAGCCGTGGAAGAAGTCTAACGGGAGGTAATTCGTGCATAACGCTCAGTACTCGGGCTGGCACAGTTAGCCACCGAGACTCGAACCGCTCAACCCACATAATCCGGGCCAGCCCGGCGCAGGGCGGGCAGTCACGCGTGGCTCCCCGAAGCTCCGAGGTCGGCCCCGCAGCCTCCCAGCTGCGCGGCCCTCGACCGCTCTCCGCCCAGCCCCCGCCCCGCCTGTGCAGCGGCCCCCTTGCAGCCGCCGGAGCTCGGTCACCCTCGATGTCCGGGCTCGTTTGCAGCACCGGGCGTCCGGGAGGAGGCCCGGGGCCCCTCCGCCCCGCTGCCCGGCCCGAGCGGGTCCCACGCGAGACCGCAGACGGACGGGCCCAGGGCTACTGACCGAGTCCCCGCGCCGAGGAGGCCGGGCCCCGCAGCCCCCGGCCCAGGCCCAACAGAGGGGACCGCGACCTCCTCACCGCGGGCGGCGCCGGAGGCCGCGGGAGCAGAGACCACCCCAGCCCAGGCGGAGGCGGAGGCGGAACTGGGGCGCGGGCCTGCGGGGCAGGGAGCCTTCGTCCTCACCGATCAGGCCGACTCCGAGCATCAGCTGAGGGTCCACCGCCTCAGCGGCAGCCATTTTCCACCGCCGCCGCCGCAGCAACAGCAGCTCAACGCTCCCAGCAACCCGCTCGCAGGCCCGCCTCTCCTCCGGGGCAACGCTCACCCTCCGGCCCCACCCTCCTACAAGGCCCCGCCTCCCCGGGCCCCGCCTCCGCCCTGGAGGCCCCGCCCCCGACGCCTAGACTTCCGGCTCTCCAACTCACGTTCAGCCGGTGACTCTCTACCCTCAGAAAACAATCAGCGTCGGCAGCTTCCCTCACTTCCCCTAATCCACATCTTCTTAAGCCCTCTCCTCAACCTACTGCAATCTTCCCTCTCCTCCTCAGGCTTTTTTCATTCTACCTGTGCCCTCCAGACCGGCTAAAAAGAGGCGTCCTGAGTATGGAGGAAGGATAGTCATTCATTCAGTCAGCCAGCCAGCCATCCCAAAACAAAAAACAAAAAAACAAACAAGAAAACCTGAAGATTTGAAAAGACTTTGGGAAGGGCGCCTGGGTGGCTCAGTTGGCTAAGCGACTGCCTTCGGCTCAGGTCATGATCCTGGAGTCCCTGGATCGAGTCCCGCGTCGGGCTCCCTGCTCGGCTGGGGGTCTGCTTCTCCCTCTGACCTTCCCCCCTCTCATGTGCTCTCTGTCTCTCAAATAAATAAATAAATAAATAAATCTTTAAAAAAAAAAAAAAGATTTGAAAAGACTTTGGGAATACAGTGTTGAGCAAGACAGAACATTCTAGTGGAGGGAGACAGACAACTGCGAAATAAAATAATCCTAAAACAGCCTAGAGTGATACGCGCTTTGCAATAAAATAGTGCAGTGTGTTAGAGGGTGAAGGGGGTGTGCTGCTTTAAAATAGGTTTGGAGGGGGCGCCTGGGTGGCTCAGATGGTTGGGCGTCTGCCTTCGGCTCAGGTCATGATCTCAGGGTCCTGGGATCGAGTCCCGCATCGGGCTTCCTGCTCCTTGGGAGCCTGCTTCTCCCTCTGCCTTTCTCTCTCGCTCTGTCTCTCATGAATAAAAAAAAAAAAAAATCTTAAAAAAATAAAATAAAATAAAATAAAATAGGTTTGGAGGAAGGCTTCTCTGAGGAAGGTTATTTAAACCCAGATCTGAATGAGGAAAAGGAGCCAGGCAGTTCGGGTGCATCCCTCCTTGTGGAGCCTCTGTGCCTCTAACCCCAAATCCCACAAAACGAATTAATTAGGGAGGGTCTTTGGTGTCTACAGAAATACAAACCCACCCCCATCTCATTTGATATGTTTTAGAATATTTAATATGAAATATTTCATAAATATATACCAATTGAAGAAAAACATGTGGTTATCACCCAGTTTAAGAAATAAAGTATTACAAATGTAGTTGAAGCCCTTCCCTTCTCTAATCTCCTTCCCCTCTCTGTCCCACGGAGATAACCACTGTTCTACATGTGGTCATTGTCATTTTCCTATATGTTTTTAAGTTTTGGTTTATTTGTACGTTTCACTCAGCAAAATATTGTACTCTTTATTTTAAAACTTTACACCAGTACAACAGTAGCTAACATTCAATGAATGGCAGATGCTGTTCTAGGTATTTTACTTGTATTACTTCCCTAAATCCTCACAATACCACTGTGTATAAATCTTATTATGAGCCCCAGTTTACAGGCGAGAAAACTGAAAAGTGACACAATTTGCCCAGGATCACATACCTTGCAAGTGGTAGCAGGATGTGGGCCCAAGCAAGGGGACTCCAGCTACACAAGAGATCACTTGTGTACAAAGCCCGCCATTCTGTTGTATGCTATTTGTATTCATTTGTAAGTTGCCTTTTTGCTCAATTTTGTTTTTTAAAATATTTATCCAAGTTAAGGGGTGCCTGGGTGGCTCAGTTGTTAAGCGTCTGCCTTCTGTTCAGGTCATGGTCCCAGGGTCCTGGGATCAAGCCCCGCATCAGGCTCCCTGCTCGGCGGGAGGCCTGCTTCTCCCTCTCCCACTCCCCCTGCTTGTGTTCCCTCTCTTACTGTCTCTCACTCTCTCTGTCAAATAAATAAATAAAATCTTTTAAAAAATAATAATAAAATATTTATCCAAGTTAATACTTATAATTCTGGTTCAGTAATTTTAACTGAATAATACTTTGAGTATGGAAATACGATTAGTTCCGTCAGCTACTAATGACAATATGTTTCCTGCTTTTTACTTTATGATCACAGTGCTACTGTATTTTGAACAAGTCTCCCTGTTCTACCTGCTCTCTCCGTTGGGAAAAATTCTACATCTTCAAGGTTCAAATACCATTTCTTCCCTAAACCCAGGCAAAATTAATTTCTCCCTCTTCCAAGGTCTAATAGCATTTGGCCATAGAACTAGGATTGGAGTATATATGGCTCTTCTGTTCTCTCATTAGACTGAACTTCCGGAGGGCAGCACCCTGAATTATGCCCCTTGGATTGATTCCCTGTGTTTACTATTGTATTACATAGTTACTAATGTTGCTAGTTCTCACAGAAAATACAAACGTATTAGGGGCTAAGGCGTGGGATACAGATTCAGAATCAGTTTGGAAGCCATGTAGACACTTGCACTCATGTTTCATTGGCCTTTGCAATCTCTTGCAAGGTTCTATGGATGAAGTGTTTGCAGGGAAAATAGATCCCCTTGTGGATTCCTTTAACGTCAACAATACACCAACCTGCATCAATCTGCACCTCAAATATCTGCTTTTGGTGAAGGTCACTGTCATCCAATCAGCTAGGATAAGTATACAAAATCCTACCATATTTCAGCTACTGTTATGGGCTGGAATGACTCCATAATTACGTAGCATAGCACTAAACCCACTGCCTCAGAATGTGATCATCTGTGGAGACAGGGCCTTTAAAGAGGTAAGTTAGTTAAAATGAGGCTGTAAGGGTGGGCCCCAATCCAATCTGACCTGTGTCCTTATAAGAAGAGGAAATTTGGACAAACAAAAGGATCCTAGGGGTGTGCCTGCCCAGAGGAAAGGCATCTGCAAGCCAAGAAGAGAGGCCTCAGAAGACATTAAACCTGCCAACACCTTGATCCTGGACTTTCAACCTTTTGAACTGTGAGAAAATAAATTTCTGTTGTTTAAGCCACCCAGTCTCTGGTATTTGTGGTGGTGGCCGTAGGAAACCAATATGGCTACTCTTCGGCCACTTGTATTGGATGTATTTGAAGCTCCCTACTGGAGATTATATTTCTGTGGGGCTTCCCCCTCTTCTCAGGTAAAAGAGAAGCTTGAAAAAATTGCCTTTGAATCACTAAGGGTAAACTCCTCTTCTCTCTGCAGTAAAGGTGTGGGCCCCTTGAGTTCACTGGCAGTCTTCCTGGGATGGGCAATTGCCCCTTTGTCTGGGATTAGGATATAGTCACGTCCTTTTGTGGCTGGAACGTTTAAGATGTGGCGGACTCCCGAGGGAATCCCCAGAGCTCCAAGGAGAGAAAGCAACAAAGGGTCTGTGTGCCTGGAGTGGTGGACTGTGGAACAAGCCCTAGCCTGCTGGAGCCAGAGTAAGAGTTTATCAGTGAATTGGGGAGAGCATTCCTCCTCCCCTCAAAAGCACTACTAGGATCTGTGCCCTGAGGAACATCACAGGTCACTGTATGGTGGCCAGATGCTGCAGGCTCAGTCTTCCAGAATGATCTGGGAGACCGTGAGAGCCACAACCAGAAGCAGAATGCCCAGAACGACTTCACATCTCCATGGATTTGTTTGCTGGCCCAAGAGTAAGCCCCTGGGGTGTGGGACAATTGGAAAGAAACCCTTAAGAAATACCAAATTCACAGGGTGCCTGGTGGCTCATTCGGTTAAGCATCTGACTCTTGACTTCAGCTCACATCATGATCTCCGCGTGGAGCCTGCTTGAGATTCTGTCCCTCCCTCTCCTTGTGCCCCTCCCCCCTCGTGGCACTCTGTTTCTCTCTCTCTCTCTAAAATAAATAAAATCTTAAAAAAAAAAAAAAGAAATACCAAATTCACTGGTAATAAGGCAGGTGGATGCTCTAGAATTTATTAAGAAAGATAAAAGCAATATGAGCATAACTGCTTATTGAGTTTGTGACAGTTCATACTGACTTCACCTAGGAAATACCCTGTTTTGTTCAATATGGGTTTTATGTATTTAAAGAAGATGTGTTAATGAATTGAAGCCTTTCTGGGAAGGCAGTTTGGCAGTGTCTATCAAAATGGAGAAGTGCATACTCAGCAATTTACTTTAGGGATATGAGGTAAAGGAAGGTATGAACTGTATAATAAAAATGTAAATATACATATTTGGAAATGTATAAATATATATTTATTAATATGTATAAATGTATATATTTAATATGTAAGTATATTAAATGTACTAGTATAAGGTCCATAACTGTAAAAATGTCATAGAACAACATTGAAAAATATGCCAGTGCTAATAACAATGGTTTTCTTGGGCACCTGGTGGCTCAGTCAGTTAAGCGGCAGCCTTTGGCTCAGGTCATGATCCCAGGGTCCTGGGATCGAGCCCCGCATTGGGCTCCCTGCTCAGGGGAGAGCCTGCTTCTCCCTCTCCCTCTGCCTGCCTCTCTGCCTACCTGTGCTCTCTCTCTATCTCTCTGTCAAATAAATAAATAAAATCTTTAAAAAAAAAATGGTTTTCTTTAGGTGAGTAAGACCAGCTATTTTTCCTCCTCCTTTTAATTCCATTTCACAATCTAAAAAATACTGTATTTATTGCTTGCAGTAGTTCAAATTAAAAAAATCCCTGAATCATTAAGCATCTGCCTTCAGCTCAGGTCATGATCCCAGGGTCCTGGGATCGAGTCCCACATCGGGCTCCCTGCTCAGCAGGAAGCCTGCTTCTCCCTCTCCCCCTCCTGCTGCTTGTGTTCCTGCTCTAGCTATCTCTGTCTCTGTCAAATAAATAAATAAAATCTTAAAAAAAAAAAAATCCCTGAAAATAGGGATGCCTCCTACAATTATAATTGAAAGTGGGTTTTTTTTCCCTTTTTAATGGTATATAAAATGACAGGCTTAGTCACTGATGGCATTTCTAGATTTTACAAACAACTGTAAACAGAAAAAATGAGAAAACATGTTAAATCCATAGGCCCCAGATCTCCTGTCCTTTCCACTTCATCAAGGTCATTTGCTGAATCTTACAGAGACATATTTAGCTCAAAATACATAATTTTCTGTGGTATTTGGGCTTAGGGAATCATTTTCCATTAAACTGGCAGGAATATAGGATCAGGAAAACTCGACTTCCCTTACACAGAGTGCAAACATTTGCAAAGCGTACTGTGCCAAGAGCCAAAGGCTGGGGAGATAAATACACGAGATAACCACAGCAGAATTCTTGCCTCTGACCACCTTACCTTCAGGTGAGAAAACAGAAAAAGGAAGAGGAAAGGCATAACCAGATCTGTTGCTTCTGGGATTTCAGACTTAAAGATCCAAACTTGAGGAAAGAGAAAAAGGAGAAAATCTCAGAGGCGGAAGAGCAGGAAAGCATCTTCAGTGTATTGCCTCTCTTGCTCCAGGTTGGGGTGCTCCTGTTGTGTCCCCTGCGGTCCCTGATGCATGTCAGGCACTCTCTCTTCTCCGTGAATGAGTTAGGGAGCCGCCCCATGTGGCCAAGGCCCACAGGTGCTGCCTTTGTCTCTGGCACATAGGCAGCATGCAGAAAATAAACGAGGATGAAGATGATGATGGACAGATACTAAAATAAAGGATTTGAGTTAGATGGTGGTGGGTGTAGGGAGGGAGGGATAATGAAGGCTGTGGCCAGGCTCAGGATACCAGGCAGGGGTGGAGAAGATGGGCAGGTGGGAGAAGAAAGGAATTGACACCTCCCTCCCTTCCATTTCACTCCTGGGTGCTGTCAGACCTGCCAGACAGGTTCACAAAGTTAAGGGAAAAGGAATAGAGAGGGTGGAGAAGGGGAGGCATTCTTAACATTTAGCAATAAAGCTGCACTGTCATAGATGGAAGGAGTTGGGGTGTGGAAACAGATGAGCCTGAGTTCAAAGCTCAGCTCTGCCCATCTTGGCTGCGAAACCTCACTCACGTTGCCCGCCTTCTGTGTGCTTGTTTCCTCAGTGACCAAATGGACTAATCCTACTTTCTTCTGTGCCTCTCCCAGTGGAAGTTTGAATCAAGAAAAATCTTTTTGGGATGCCTTGGTAGCTCAGTTGGTTAAGCATCTGCCTTCGGCTCAGGCCATGATCCCAGAGCCCCGCATCGGGCTCCCTGCTCGGGGGAGAGCCTGCTTCTCCCTCTCCCTCTGCCTGCCTCTCTGCTACTTGTGCTCTCTCTCTATCTCTCTGACAAATAAATAAATAAAATCTTTCTTTTTATTTTATATTTTTTAAAGTAATCTCTACACCCAATGTGGGACTCAAACTCACAACCCTGAAATCACGAGTGGCACGCTCCACTGACTAAGCCAGCCACGCACCCCTCAAGAAGAGTCTTTATGTTAATATTATAGATAAAGGGGTCCCCAAGACCACTCCCAGATCCAATGATTTCTTGGGGGGACACACAGGATTCAGTACATAGCTGTGCTCATGGCTAGGCTTTATCAGTAAAGGGAAAAGGCACACGGGGTGATATCCAAAGGAAAGTAAGGCCAAGCTTCCAAGAGTCCTCTCTGTAGAATCACACAGGACACATTTCATTCCTCCAGCAACAAGTTATGACAACGCAAGTGAAATATTATTGACGAGGGAAGCTCGTTAGAGACAGGTTTTTATTGGGGGCAGTGATGTGGCACCTTCTGCCTAGCACGTACACAAATTCCAGTCTCTCAGAACGAAACAGGTATTCAGCATGAACCCCATTGTTTGTGCAAGTAGTCTAGATAGTCACTCTGCTCAGTTCCAAGCATGGTGGGAGTACTCCTGAAATCCAAGTTCACAAATAACAGCCAAGGACCTACCTTATCAGTAAGCTCTTCTAATGATAGCTGGCCGGGGCCTGCTACGTCTTATTTGCACAGCCTGCTTGTTCTTTGCTCCCCAGGAAAAGAGTAAGCAAATATTGGCACTGATATGGATTTGGAAAACTGTCTGGGCATGTGGATAAGGGACCTCAACATCTTCTACAGATGTTCTAATTCCCAGGTCCCTGTGAGTCCTGGCTCTTCTTTTCATCATTCTTCCTTAATCGTATTTAATCAAAGATTAGGCACTGTCAGCCAAGAGAGCATTGGGATGTCAGCTCTTTTAAGAGATTCCAGGCTTGCTTGGGGCCCAAGAAGTCACCTCTGAAAGGGGCTTTAGTCAAATGCCTTGACACTTTTTTAAAAATTAATTAATTAATTAATTAATTAACTTATTTATTTTAAAGATTTTATTTCTTTATTTGAGAGAGAGACACAGCGAGAGAGGGAACACAAGCAAGGGGAGTGGGAGAGGGAGAAGCAGACTTCCCGCTGAGCAGGGAGCCCGATGCGGGGCTCGATCCCAGGACCCTGGGATCATGACCTGAGCCGAAGGCAGATGCTTAACAACTGAGCCACCCAGGCGCCCCACTTTTTTTTTTTTTTTAAGATTTTATTTATTTATCTGACAGAGACAGCGAGAGCAGGAACACAAGCAGGGGGAGTGGGAGAGGGAGAAGCAGGCTTCCCGCTGAGCGGGGAGCCCAATGTGGGACTCGATCCCAGGACTCTGGGATCATGACCTGAGCCGAAGGCAGACGCTTAACGACTGAGCCACCCAGGCGCCCCTGACACTCTGTCTTGATGGTTAACTGGCTTCCTGTCTGGGTGAGCTTTCCAGAACATTCCCAAGGGAAAGTCATCCTTCTTGTGTTCTCCACAGTATGAGGGTGCTAATATTGGAACCTGAGTAGATCCCAGGCCCCAAGAAGCCCAGCTTTCAAGCTGTGTTGTATTAAAAGATACAGATCAGTAAGATAATGTAATTGAGATAAATTCTGATCTGTATTGGCATTTTTCAAAGAATATGAAAGATGATAGAATTCATTACCTACAGTGATATGTCTTAAAATCCCTTTCCCCTCATATTTTATAGACATTTTATTTTTCTTTAATCATTTTTAATTTTTCAAATCTTTGGATGCCAAAATCTGGGAAAAATATTTTATTTTAGAATAGTTTTAGATTTACAGAAAAGTTGCAAAGATAGAACAGAGAGTTACCACATACCCCCAATCAGTTTCTTCTTTTAGTAACATCTTACATCAATATGGTACATTTGTCACAACTAATGAACCAATACTGATACACTAGTAACTAAAGTCCATGTTTTTTCCTAATGTCCTTGTTCTGTTCCAGGATCCTATTTAGGATAACATTATATTTAGTCAAAATGTTTCCTTAGGCTCCTCTTGGCTGTGACGGTTTCTCAGACTTTCCTTGTTTTTGATGACCTTGACAGTTTTGAAGAGTTCTGGCCAGGACTTTTATAAACCATCCTTCAATTAGGATTTGTCTGATGTTTTTCCAATGGATCCTGTGTTTTGGGGAGGAAGACCATAGAAGTGCCCTTGTCGTCACATTGGATCAAGGGTACATTGAGGTGTTAACCTTGATCACCTGGCTGAGGCACTGTTTGTCGGGTTTCTCTCCTGTAAAGTTACTCTTTCCCCCTTTCTTTTTCTTTTTTTTTTTTCTTTATTTTATTTTTTAAAGATTTTATTTATTTATTTATTTGACAGACAGAGAGCACAAGCAGGGAGAATGGCAGGCAGAGGGAGAGGGAGAAGCAGGCTCCCCGCTGAGCAGGGAGCCCGACACGGGGCTTGATCCCAGGACCCCCGGGATCATGACCTGAGCCAAAGGCAGTCACTTAACCAACTGAGCCACCCAGGCACCCTCTTTTCCTTTTTTTTTTTTAAGGATTTTATTTATTTGAGAGAGAGAGAGAACACGAGTGGGGGGTGGGGGGTTGCAGAGGGACAAGCAGACTCCCCGCTGAGCACAGAACCCAACATGGAACTCGATCCCAGGACCCTGAGATCATGACCTGAGCAGAATGCAGATGCTTAACCAACTGAGCCACCCAGGCACCCCTCTTTCCCCCTTTCTTTTTTTTTTTTTTTTTAACATTTTATTTATTTATTTGACAGAGAGATAGAGCACAAGTAGGCAGAGTGGCAGGCAGTGGGAGAGGGAGAAGTAGGCTCTCCTCTGAGAAGGGAGCCCGACATGGGGCTCGATCCTAGGACCCTGGGATCGTGACGTGAGCCGAAGGCAGACACTCAAATGACTGAGCCATCCAGGCGCCCCTCTTTCCCCCTTTCTATGCTGTCCGCTTTGGAGAGAAGTCACTACACCCAGCCCACACTTAAGGAGTGGGTCATTAAGCTCCACCTCCTCCAAGGCAAAGCATCTACGTAAACTATTTGAATTCTTCTCCCCGGGAAATTTGTGTATTCTCTCCCATTTATTTCCTTACTCAATTGTGCATATCGGTGTGGACTCCCTCCATGTTTTTGTGAACCATTGCTACCATTCATCGGCATAGGTTCTGAAATCTCTCCCTGCTCCTCTCACAAATAGCTCTTCCTGTTGTCATCTCCTCTCTTTCCTTTTCTTCCCCATGAGCTTCCCCACCCCTCTATTCTCTTTCTCTCATCTCAGCCCTCCCCTACTCGGGTAGGAGATACTGCTCGAATCTCCTACCCGAGTTCAGCTGTCCTCCCAACTGATTACCTTATGTACCTAAGAAAGAATAGGTGGAGGAAAGGGGGAGAGCAAGGGGCAAATGCCCACTAGTCAGTGGGCTACTATAGTAGTTGAGGGGACGGGAAGAGGCTGTGAATATTTCATAAACTGATTACTTGGTCTCTCTTACATGCACATATGTGAAAATGATTTCTAGAGAGCTTGTATCGGGGACTGTCTGAGGAGGACTACAGGTGGTATCTCCTTCAAACCTCAAGCAACTCATCATGCCTATTTCACAGATGAGAAAATGGAGGCTCGGTGAGATTACTTGCCCAATATCCTAGTGCTAATAAATGGCAAAGCTGGGGTTTGGACCCATCTGGCTCCAAATGTGACATGCTTATGGGCTGAACTGAGATGCATTTATAATCATAAATTCCCTAGGAAATGAAGCTTACCCCCTAGTTCTAAAAACACTAGTGTGGAGTACCATAACACGTGTTTGTAGTCTCAGATTCCTCCTATAAGGGCTTTTGCTTAACAGTCTTGATTTGTACAGTTAAACCTTATACGGTCTTGCCCTTTCCTTCTACTGAGCTGTACCTTTGGTTCTCTTTCATGCAAAGTCACTTTAGAATTTTAGACTCCATTCGTGTTTCGTTCTTCTTTCTCTAGAAATTAATATGGGGAAACCTGTCTCTGTATTAGTTTTCTATTGCTGTGTAACAAATTAGTACAAACTTAGTGGCTTAAAGCAACACCCATTTATCAGCTCACAGCTCTATAGACCAGAAGTCCAAGCATGGCATGACTGGGTCTCTGCTCAGGCTGTTGCCAGGCTAAAGTCTGGGTGATGGCAAGGCTGCGTTCCTTCCTGGAGGCTCTGCAGAAGAATTTCCCTCTAAAATCATCCAAGTTGTTGTTGGAATTCAGCTCCTTGCGGTTGTGGGCTGATGCCTCTGTGCACTAGCTGGGTTTTAGCCCGGGGCTGCCCTCAGCTACTAGAGGTTGCCTGCAGTTCTTTGCTGTGCATCTCCTTCCATTTATCCTCTCATGCTTTGAATCTCTTACTTCCTCTGCCTCAGACTTCTAGACCTGGATTTGTAGGGCTTATGTGACTGGTTAGACCCACCCAGATGAAATCTCTTCTTAAAGTCAACTATGATACATAATATAACCTAATCACAGAAGTAACACCCCATCATGTTTATAGTCTCAGGTATTATACAGGGCATGTACATCAGGGAGGGGAAATCTTGTGGACATTTTAGAATTCTGCTGACCACAGTATCTATTCCTTTATTTATTCACACATCATGTATTTACAGAGCACTTGATTCATGCCCAGCATAGTTCCAGGAGTTGGAGCTACAGTGATGAACATGACAAACTTGGTTCCTTAAAGCTTACCATCTAACATGGTGAGACAGGGGGGAAACCAAGGAAACAATGAAAACTACCCATTAGTGATAAATGCTCTGCTGAGAGTTAAAATAGGGTAGTCTCAAGCTTTAGACTGCATGGTCAGGAAGGGGCTCTCCAAGGAGGTGCCATTTTTAGTTGCTTCATGAGAAGATAATACAATGAAAAGGTCCATGTGATGGTCTAATATCCATAAGCCCAAGATGAAAGCCCACACCCTGTGGTTCCAGGGTTCCTTCTAATCATGTTTCACACATTTAACAGAGAAGCTTATTTTCAAACCACACCCTAAACCACTCTGCATGGTGTCTTACTCATTCTACTCTTGGCCCTAGATGGTTTGTGTAGCTTTGAGCAGGGTCTCCTAAATTCCCAAGCAGGAGCTAGGCTGTGTGGCACGACAATGGTATGTGTGACTATGTACGCCAATTCCCACAAACATGCTTCTCTTCTTCCCCTCAGACTTCTCCTGGAGTCTGGCAGAATATTAATGGGTGAAGACTCTGCATGTAAGATGCATTTCTCCCAATAAATGACAAATGTTGCCAGGACACATTCCTGCTAAAAATATATTCCACTGAATCTGCATTCCAATTCCCTGCTTTAAATTTGCATAACCTAGGGGCGCCTGGGTGGCTCAGTCGGTTAAGTGTCTGGCTTAGGCTCAGGTCATGATCTCAGGGTCCTGGGATCCAGCCCCACATTGGGCTCCCTGCTCAGCTGGGAGTCTGCTTCTCGCTCTCCCTCTGCCACTCCCCCCCTACTTGTGTTCTCTCTCTCTCAAATAAATAAAATCTTAAAAAAATAAATAAATTTGCACAACCTAGAGGTTCAGTGAGATCTGCCTGACCCAGGCACAGTGCACCCCACATCTGCTCTTGGTACACTACTGTTGAAAAGATTTCCAACCCTCATTGGGCACTTTCATGGTTAAGATGCAAGAGTATGAGGTTTTGGACCTTGTTTATCATCAGGCAATTGGAACCATCAAGGTGTTCTGAAATATACACTGAACAAATACTTCCTGGGTGTTGACCACGTGCCAGGCACTGTCTATACACAAAGATGAAATGTCCCAGTCAGTACCTTCAAGGGACTTCCAGTGTCATGGAGGAGACTAACATGGAGATGGGCAATTATAATACAGGAGGCTTGCTTTAATCAACGAAGTCATTTTTTCAACTAATATTATCGAGGGGGCGCCTGGGTGGCTCAGTGGGTTAAAGAGCTGCCTTCAGCTCAGGTCATGATCTTAGGTTCCTGAGATCAAGCCCCGTATCAGGCACCCTGCTCAGTGGGGAGTCTGCTTCTCCCTCTCCCTCTGCTGCTCCCTCTCCCTCTGCTGCTCCCCCTGCTTGTGCTCTCTCACTCATGCTCTCTCTCTCTCTCTCAAATAAATGAATAAAATCTTAGGAAAAAAAAACAAATAGGGGCGCCTGGGTGGCTCAGTCGTTAAGCGTCTGCCTTCGGCTCAGGTCATAATCCCAGGGTCCTGGGATCAAGCAGCATCAGGCTCCCTGCTCAGCGGGAAGCCCGCTTCTCCCTCTCCTACTCCCCCTGCTTGTGTTCCCTCTCTCCCTGTCTCTCTTTCTGTCAAATAAATAAATAAATAAAATCTTAAAAAAAAAAAACCCAAATATTTATTGAGTGCTTACTCTGTGCCAGGCACTGTTATAGATGCTAGACATACAGCAGCTGAACAAAACTGACATCAATCCTTGCCTTCATCAATCTTATATTCTAGAAGGGTAGATCATGAAATATATCAATGAGATGGTGATAACTAAATAAATGCTGTAGAGGAAAATAAAGAAAAGGGTCCTTGGAAGTATGGGAGGAAGGGAAGTTATTATTACTTTAAAGAGGTAAGGGAAGACAGCCCTGAAAAGGTGACATGGCATGGCATAGGAGGGAGGCGGAGGGGAAGGAGTAGTGTAGGATCTTGTGGGCCATTGTAAGGACTTTGACTTTGACTGATGAGCTGGGCAGCCATAAAAGGATCTTGATCAGGGGACTAATATGATCATCTCCCTTTTGTTTTAAAAGATCCCCCTGCTTGGTATGGTGGAGAGTAAAAAGAAGGGGGCCAAGGGGAAATAGAAAGACAAGTGAACAGGTTATTACGTATTCTGGGTGAGACACAATGGTGTCTTAGACCAGAGTGATAGCTGTGGAGATGGTAGAAATGGGATTGGCTGATGGATTGATTGGAAGCAGGGCTGTGGCAGAAAAAGTAGAGTCAAGGATGTCTCCAATATTTTTGGTTTGAGCAACTGGAAGAAGGGGGTTGCCATTATTTATACGGGGAAGATATGGGAGGAGCAGGTGGGAGGCCAGAGACACCAGGAGTCTGGTTTGGGGCAGATTGGGTGTATATTGTATGTCAAACACTTAATGGATGTGTCAGTTAGGCATGGGGGTGTAAGCCTGGCTTTCAGGAGAGAGGTAGAGCCCTGGTGATGTAATTTTGTAACTTCTAAGCACACAGATGATGTCTAAAGTGATGAGCTAGAACCAAGAGATGGATGCAGTTAGAGGAGGGGAGAAGTCCAGGGGCTGAGCCCTGGGGCTTTTCAACCTTAGAGGTCAGAGAGATGAGGAGCCGTCAGAGAGGCAGGAGGAAAATCAGGAAAAGGGGATCTTGGAAGCCAAGAGAAGAAAGTGTTTCAGGGAGGCTGGAGTGAACAGCCTGCTGCGTGAACAGAGATGGAATCCAGAGCACTAGTACAAAAGGCTGGCTTTAGACAGGAGCGCTGAAGGGTGACAGGAGGGAAGCAGAGTGTCGAGGACAGGAGCAGGTGGGTGGGTAGATGGCAGAGTGCAGAGGCAGGTTCTCTTCTGACTGTTGCACTATTTGCAGTGCTACAGAAAATGAGGCCATCAGCCGAGAGAAGAGGATTGGAGAGAGGAAAAAGTATGACACAGTCATCTGGGAGAAGGGGGACATAGCCTAGAGAAGTGTCGTAGGATGGCTGAACAGCAGCATGGTGCTTGTTGAGGCTCGTGGTCATGAATTTAAAGTGGGACTTGTCGACATGGTTGTATTATTTTTCCCCAGTCATACTGGGCTGCAGGTGACGAGCAGAAGGATTCTTGGATTGGCCAGGGTTGGGGTCAAATAAAGGGAAAGCTGAGCAAGGAAAGAACTAAATGATGGAATCTAAGCTGGGTGCAGGGGAAACAGAGGACATGAGGGATGGGGAGCGGTGTGAGAAGGAAGTAGGATTGATGAACAGGTTGCAGGTTCGTCAGGCAGCAGGATTGTTGGGAGTTGTGGTGCACAGGAATGAATGAGAATGTGAGATACTTGAAAACAAGATCTGGAAACTGAGAGAGCTGGTATGACAAGGTGCAGTGTAGGGGTCAGCAAACAGGGCCGAGGGGCCAAAGTTGGCCCATTGCCTGTGTTTACACAGTCTTGAGCTAAGAACAATCTTTACTATTTTTTAATCTTTACATTTAAAAAATTTATTTTTAATTCCAGTATAGTTTACATATAGTATTACATTAGTTTCAGGTGTACAATAGAGTGATTCACCAATTCGGTATATTGCTCAGTGCTCATCAAGATAGTTTTTACATTTTTTTTTTTTTAAAGATTTTATTTATTTATTTGAGAGAGAGAGAATGAGAGACAGAGAGCATGAGAGGGAGGAGGGTCAGAGGGAGAAGCAGACTCCCTGCCAAGCAGGGAGCCCGATGCGGGACTCGATCCCGGGACTCCAGGATCATGACCTGAGCCGAAGGCAGTCGCTTAACCAACTGAGCCACCCAGGCGCCCCAGTTTTTACATTTTTAAAAAAGATTTTATTTATTCATTTGAGAGAGAGACCACAAGTGGGGTGGGGGTGGGGGGGCGGGCAGAGGGAGAGGGAGAAGCAGACTCTCCGCCGAGCAAGGAGCCTGCCTTCGGTTCAGGTCAAGAAGAAGGGGGCCAAGGGGAAAAAGAAAGACAAGTGAACAGGTTATTACGTATTCTGGGTGAGACACGATGGTGTCTTAGACCAGACACCTGAACTGAAGGCAGACATTTAACTGACTGAGCCACCCAGGCGCCCTAGTTTTTACATTTTTAAATGTAATATACACACATACATACAAGGACAATTACTCTTTCAGCAAGAACAGTTGCTCCAAGAATGGAAGATATGGCCTCCTGGCCTGCAAAGCCTATCATATTTACCATCTAGTCCTTTACAGAAGAAGTTTGCTGACTCTTAGTCTAGACTCTAGGGTATCACCATGTGTGTGAGTGAGTGAGGTAAGGCAGAGGACACAATTGTGAAGGCCAGGTGGCCAGGATATTGGCAGGATCATCCACACGGGTATAGAAACCCTAATTATGACAGTAGTGTTGGAGAGTGACAGAAGTTAGATGTAAGAGTCAAGGAATGAGGGGTTGTGACTTGGGATCTGCAATACCTATAGAGGACTGTCACCGAGAGGAATCACATGTGGTCTAGTCTGATAGCATGAAATTCAATATTTACAGTTCAAGGGAGGAGAGGGAATGCTCTAGAAGTAGCTAGGGGGAAGAGCTAGTCTGTCACTGATCCACCTCCAGGCACCAGTGGTTTGAAGGAGGACTAGAGCCACCCATGACACAGCTGCAGGGGCAGCAGAGTGCCCAGAGATGGCCTGGGTGCCCGAGTTAATGGTGGCCTGAGCAAAGAGCACAAGAGAAGGGACAAGTAAGTCAGTCCCCCACTGGCTGAAAAGCTCTGCAGAGGAAGCCTTTGAGCTGAGGCTTAAAGTATTGGTAGGGGTTGGTCAGGTAACAATGGGTGGGATAGGAAGAAGAGAAGGGATATACAGGTGTAGGAAAGCATGATTTATTTGAACACTGACCTCAGAAAGTCACAAATGAACTTCGATACAGCTGGACATTCAAAATCAGTGCAATTAGGAGCTTTGAATGAAGAGTATTATTTCTTCTTTAGTATTTGCATGCTGGGGCTTAAGTAGATTGAGAGCCCCATGTAGATAGGTAGATGCTCTATAAATGAAAGAAGACACACATTGAACTTTCACATTTGTTACTTCCCCAAAGGTATAGTAGAAACTGTTTTATATAAATCTTTATATGGAGATTCACTCATTCATCTCTCCAGCATTTTTTGAGAGTATCTCATCTGCCAGGCATTGGGGATATAGTGTGAATAACACAAAAGCTTCCACTCTCTGAGCTTATAGTCTACAAGTAATTACATTGACGTATGATCAGTGCTAAGACGGGATGATATTGGTGCTCCATGCCTTGGCATCTAAACTAATCTGGGGGCTAGGGAAGAATCCTGGAGGAAGTGACAATTAATGTGGAGAAATAGATTGTTGTTAGAACAAGGAATGGGTGGTGGTGGTAAATGTCCCAAGGGAAGTGATGGCACTCATTGGGTTGGAGGTGGGAGAAAGGGCTGTTTAAGGCACTGAATTGTGTGGTGAGAGATGGACCTAGAAAGACGATGGGGGCCTGGACCGGAGTGGTGTCTCCATCTTCAAGAAGCTTCTGGCAAGTGTTCGAAGTCTTTCTTCTCTCTAGGCTGCCAAGTCCAAGAAGGCAGGAACCAAGTCTGTCCTGTTCACTGCCTTGTACCTACCTATCAGGCGCTTACTTCTCGTATCTGGCACATGGTAGGTACTCAATAATGGTTTGTTGAAGGAATGTGTAATTGTGAACTGTAGTCTAACTCTCTGAAACTGTTAGTTTCAGTGTAAATACCTTCATTCCAGCATTCTTGTAAACAAAATGATGAATGTGAAAGCATTTTGTAAACTATAAAACATGATACTTGATTTAAAGCTATATTATGTTGCAAATATGTATAATGTAGTACTTCTTTTGTGCCACTAAGAACTGTTTTTTTTTTTTTGAGAATCTTATTAGCTTTATTCAAAACCTCCAAACATTATATTAGAGAAATTATCCAGTTATATATAGTATAAAAGTAGTTTGATTAGGGAAAAAACCTTCACCAGCCTGATCACTTCCTTTTAACACTTCCTAAAGTGGCTTCTAGCATAATCAGGTTGCTTGTTTTCTATGAAGTGAGCATTAATCAACAACAAGTAATTATGCTTTTCTCCTGGTTCAGAATAGATCCTATCTTGCTCCTCGTTGTGTACTCATCCATCTTCACCAGCGAAACATCAACTCCTTGAAAACAAGCAACCTGCATTTTTACCAGCATTATGGCTATTAGCTGGTACTTAATACCTATTGGCTGAATTTTTTTAAATTTATTTTTAAAAAGATTTTATTTATTTGTCAGAGAGAGAGAGAGCACACAAGCAGGGGGAGTGGCAGGCAGAGGGAGAAGCAGCTCCCCCCCCCCCCCCCCCCCCCCCCGCACTGAGCAGGGACTCCATCCCAGGACCCTGGGATCATTACCTGAGCCGAAGGCAGGTGCTTAACCAACCGAGCCACCCAGGCATTCCATCCTATTGGCTGAGTTTAATAAAATTTATTCTGGAAGTTGAGACTATTCACAAATAAAGTACTAGACGCTAATTGTACCTAATACACTTAAATGATCATTGGCTATTATATTACCAAATGCTTCATCTACTTTAACTTGAGAGAAAAGAATGAGGACGCAGAAATACTGAATTTCATTTTTTGCTCCAAATTTTCTAGTGTTTGTTTTGTTTTAGGTCTACCACATAATGAGTAATAATCAATGAGATTATTTTACCATCTTCTTCGAGATATGATAACGAAAAGGTAAGAATGTTGGAAAGCTTTTTCTGACACTTAGGTCGTTTCCTTTTATTTTATTCTGTTACATTTCTCTATGGCCTACTAATAGTTTTCTATCTACAGCATTTAAAAGCTATATTTGCTCTTATGTTTAGCTCTTTAATTTTGACTTAATTATTATATACACAAACAAGTCTCTTGATCCTGCCTCATAAAACAGTTCCTATAGCTTCTTAGTACTTGTTGCTCAACTCTGTCCGGTTCTTAATTTTGGGAGAGTGAGTTTAGACATTTAGAGTGGCCCAAGCATTTTGAAGGAAGAACTCTCTGAAGTTAATTTTTAAATAACCTTTTTTAGACTCTGTGATGTATCTTTTGTCTGCATTTCCCACGTTTTCTTTCTTTATAGTGATAAATTTAAATAGAAAAACCTCTTTGCTGAGGCAAAGAATGAGGGGGAAAATGCTTTTCGAGGGGATGTACTGTGGATTCCTTGTGCCCGGAGACAGTACTGTCATTCATTCGAATATCCCATCCATTATTACAAAATGTGTAATAAATTTGCAACAATTTATTCCACTGCTGCTTTCTCAAGTTTTCTTCTGAACTCATCTTAATTTCATACCTAGGATTTGAGTAATTAGATTCAGTTTAAATGGCTTTCAAGTTCTAGGTGTACGTTAGTGATCGAACATTAAAACTGTAAATCAATAATAAAAGACTGTAGCAAGCGGCCTGAGAAATTGATTTCCCCCCCGACACTCATTTTTCTTATGCTTCTTTGTGATGTGTGCTGAATGTTAAGGTTACAACACTCCCACGAATCTTCAAACATTATGCAAAGTCTGTTCTGCTGCAGAACTTCCTGCCCCCTTGTCAGATTACTGTCTCCAGTCTGTCCTCAAAACTCACCTTCTCTGAGGGCTCCCATTCCCCAATCTTCGTGTCAGCAACTTTTTAATTTTACCGATATGAAATAAGCTTGCTAATTTATTTATTGCGTCCCTCCTCCCCCTGCTAGTCCGTCAAGGGACGGGTCACTACTATTAGCCGGTGGTGAGCAGCGCTGGCCTGGCGATAGCCGCTCAATGCATTTCCGATAAACGGATATATACCGCTTTTTCATTCAGCGGAGACGGATCATTCCCTAGGCGGATGGGACCTGACTGTAACTTTGCATGACTCCGCACAAAGCAGGTCCAAAATCTGTGCAGACGCCTTCTTTCTCGCCAGGCAGAGACTCTGACCCAAGTATCACCTTCCCCACCTCGACTCTCGCTCAAGGAGAGAGGGGCCTGAGAACCCTCTCCCCTACGTTTCCCCGAGGAGGCCGGAGGAGACACCGGGGCGCACGAAGGGCGCACACCGCCGCCACGTCAGCCGGCGCGCGCGACGGCAGCGCGCCTGCGCGCGGAGGGCCGTTTCCCCCTACATCCGGGGCCTGGGCGGCGGCGGCGCCGCCGTGCGGGGGTCACGTGGCTCTTTCCTTTCCGTCTCTGGCCGGCTGGGCGCGGGCGACTGCAGGCGAGGCGCGTGGAACCTCGCGTTGGTTCCCCTTGGTCTCCTCTCCCGGCCCGGGCCACTAAGGAGTTCGCTGACGCCGGGTGAGCTGAGCCTGCCGCCAAGATGCCGGCCTATTTCCAGAGGCCGGAAAATGCCCTCAAGCGCGCCAACGGTGAGTAGGGTAGGGGATCGGGGCGCGCCGGGCTGCGTCGGCCCGAGGCCTCTGAGGTCGAGGGGCCCGGGCCTGCTTCTCGCTGCTGCGCTGCCTGGCTGCGGCCGGAGAGGTGGTCGATGCGACCTGCCCGCCGCCGCCCGGGCCCGTGCGTGGGCATGGTTTCCCTTCTCGCTCCAACCGACCGGGGCGGGCGGGAGGTGCGGAGCCGGGAACCGTCGCTCTGGGGGCCCTTCCTTCCCCCCGCTGCCTCCTGGTGCGTCTCGGGGGCCGCCGTCCCGGAGACAGGTTTCCGGGGCCCGAGTTCCTTACCCGCCTTGTGTGCTTCCGCCCGGCGCCCCAGGCCGCCGGGCTCCCGGCTGCTTAGGCCCCGTGCCCCCAGCCGCCATCTGGGAGGGAGTGCCGGGGAGGAAGAAACATGGCTCCCTCCCGGGGACAATGCACGCGAGAACCTCGACTCCACCTCCTGCCGGCGCCGGGAGCCGGGCAGTCCCACCTCCGGCCCTCCTGCAGACACCTCCGCCCCCCAAATCCAGCGCCGGGCTTTGCTGGGTCAGGGTCCACTTACCCCTTTCCCGTCGCTGTAACTCTGCTTCGGAGACTCTGACCCATTTAACCTGTTACCTGTTTTTTTTCTGGCATTGATTATTGGCCTTTTCCAAATCACATGAAGTTGGAACAGAGTTAATGCTGTAAGAGAGGGACTTCAAGTTCTCGCTTAAAGATAACGAAACTGAGGCCTAGAGAGAATGTTTTTACCCAAGGTCACTCTGGGAGTTAGTTGTTGAGCCAGGAGACTAGAACCAAGGTCTCTAGACTTTCCGATTAGTCGTTTTTTCGCCACAGCGCTACTGCCTGCGATTTTTATTTCTAGTGTACTTAAGCCACGGGCCCTTTCAGGAAAACTTGTGCGGGTCCTGGTCTGTTCAAGAAGCATTTATTACGTTGCCATTATTGGGGTGCACTGTATTATGCATTGCTCTGGTTTTTAAAAACTTTATCGTTTAGAGTTTTTTTTTTTTTTAAGATTTTATTTATTTGAGAGAGAATGAGAGAGAGAGCACGAGAGGGGGGAGGGTCCGAGGGAGAAGCAGACTCCCCGCCGAGCAGGGAGCCCGATGCGGGACTCGACCCCGGGACTCCAGGATCATGACCTGAGCCGAAGGCAGTCGCTTAACCAGCTGAGCCACCCAGGCACCCCTCGTTTAGAGTTTTTTAAGCCCAACAATTTCTAAGTGTGTAGGGCGTCCATAGCTCTTATTTTCACCCTTTCTGTACCCAAACAAGTTTTGGGTCTTATCCATGTTGTAGGTGGATATATCGTCTGTTACAGTTTTAGTTCATGGAGCTTATTTTGTTAGTTTGTGTGAAAATTAATCTTGTGAAAAGGCCAATTTCAGTCAATAATAAAATTAATACTATTGATAACCTGTCAGGACTAAAGGTGTGTTTGTCACATGGTTGTTATTTTAAAAGTAACAATTTGGGGGTTGGTAAGAGTGTGGAATATGATCGTCCACATTCTTTGGAATATAGTACAGTAATTGTTTTAAAAATCGGGTTAAGACTACAACTTAGATCTGATGACTACTCATTTTAACCAGTCACCTAATGGTTAGAACAGGCAAGAATTAAGGATGTTAATTTTTTTTTTTTTTTAAGATTTTATTTATTTATTTGACAGACACAGTGAGAGAGGGAACACAAGCAGGGGGAGTGGGAGAGGGAGAAGCAGGCTTCCCGCCGAGCAGGGAGCCAGATGCGGGGCTCGATCCCAGGACCCTGGGATCATGACCTGAGCCGAAGGCGGATGCTTAACGACTGAGCCACCCAGGCGCCCCTAATTTTTTTTTTTAAGATTTTATTTATTTAGGAGAGGAAGAGAGGGCGCCCATGAGCGGGGCAGGGGAGAGGATCAGGAGGAGAGGGAGGAGCAGACTCCCCCATGCCCCAGGGACACCCCCCCCATCATGACCTGAGCTGAAGGCAGACATCAACCACTGAGCCACCCAGGCACCCAAGGATGTTAATTTCTAGGAAAGAAAATAGATGGAAATGGAAATTTATCACTACAAAATGAACTGCAGCAAAGTTAGAATCTTTTTCTTCTGTTTAGAAACTTAGAATTATATTATGGTATACAAAATGACTGGGATTCAGTTACTGTTCTAATTGCTATTGTAGATCTGTTTTACAGTCATTTGCTTCAGATAGGCGTTTTTTCCATGCTAATAGGCTGAAGCACTGTACTCTTGATGGCCTAAATACTACACATTTGATGTGTTCAGGCCTTGTTTGTTTCATCACTCCTCCCTTCTGAATCTTCATTTGAACTTAGTATTTCAGTAATTTTTTTAAATTAGAAGGGTTTTCTGATGTGTAACAAATCTTAAATCTTTTTACATGTTTTCTGAGTTGAAATAGATTTGATTCATGAAAGCAAAGTTGGCGAAAGCATCTGAAATTAAAGTAGGCAAGATGAGCAAGGGGCACCTGGGGGGTACTTTAATTTTGTGTAGGTTTTTATAAGGCTGTACTGTCTCCTTGCTGTAGTCCTTTTAAAATGTAGGTTGGGTGTTTCTGTAGTATAGGCCTTAGCTTTCAAGTAGTAATTTCTGTACCTTTGATCTTGTGAATGAGAGCTGTCTGAAAGTGTTATAAAGTGAGCAGAATGTGGATGGCACATGGCACTGCTTACAAAATTTACAAAACTAGGATTATAAAAGCACATTTCATTTGATGGAGATAATCTCATTGTATGTAAATGTTTTATCTGTAACAGCCTCAAACACATTTAGAACTAATTCGTTTTATTATCTTAATAAAATGTGAATAAGTTTTGGGGCGCCTGGGTGGCTCAGTCGTTAGGCGTCTGCCTTCGGCTCGGGTCATGATCCCAGGGTCCTGGGATCGAGCCCCGCATCGGGCTCCCTGCTCGGCGGGAAGCCTGCGTCTCCCTCTCCCACTCCCCCTGCTTGTGTTCCCTCTCTCGCTGTCTCTCTGTCAAATAAATTAAAAAAAAAAAATGTGAATAAGTTTAGAGTAGTTCAGGTCATCTTAGCCTGTAATTCAGAACAGATTATAGTAATCACTCAGGAAGATGAAAACTTGGCCCAGCATTTATAGGCAAGAAATTCGTACACGAGAATCATTTGGGAAAAGCCCCTTTTCCAAATTATGTTGTCAGTAGTATGGAGTTATAATTGCTCCTGATCTTGTAACATCCTTTTAATTTATCGTCTACCAGTGATTTATAAAGTTGTCATTAAACCCACAAATTGTGTAATATTGTAGCTTATCTACTTGGTCTGTTGGCACAGATAAACTAATATTATTAAAGGGCAGACCTAAACTTTTTCTTTTAGAGAGAGTTTGTCATTGTGTCCGAAAGGTAAGTTCAGAATGCCTACCCTCCTAGTATTAGTTCATAATTCCAGATTTTAATCTTTATTTCAAGAATATCAATTTGGAAATGAGCATTTTTTAAAACATTGTAACAGAACCTTTAATGTGTGGTATTTCTTTCTAGCCTCAAAAACTTTCTTTTTCCTTATTAGATAAGTAATAGGAACTAAATTCTCCCAGTATGTAAATTAGGGTAAAGGCAGGAACTCACCCTAATGGATTATCATGGTTTCTGTTCCCATTCCATTTTTTTACTTTAAAAACATTCTTGCTTGGTACCCATGTCTGCTTTTTTTCTTGGTGATGGTGGAGGTGTCCTATAAAAAATTATTTTTTAGTGCATTTGCTTTAGTTTGTTTGAATCTCTTGTTTCAGAGTTTGAAAGTGGAATTTGGAATCATAAATCTTGATTGGCTGTTTAGGAATTGAAAATTAATTTTAGGGACGCCTGGGTGGCTCAGTCAGTTAAGCATCTGCCTTCGGCTCAGGTCATGATCCCAGGGTCCTGGGATCGAGCCCTGCGTTGGGCTCCCTGCTCTGCAGGAAGCCTGCTTCTCCCTCTCCCACTCCCCCTTGCTTGTGTTCCTTCTCTCGCTGTGTCTCTCCCTGTCAAATAAATAAATAAAATCTTAAAAAAGAAAGAAATCACACTCCCCTATTTAAAAATAAGAGATTGGGTAGGTGAATTATTTTTAGACAGTTTATTATTTTGTCATCACCATGCTGGGGCCAGTTCTCAACTTTAACTCTCTTTGTGCCTGTTCTATGTTACAAGCATTTTGACAGTGTTTAAATAGGATAGTATAAGATTTAAATCCTCAACCTAAGACTGGGAATTGGGTATAATAGATTGTTTTGGTGCTGCTGGTGTGCTATTTAATGTGGATGATAAATTTTTTTTTTCAAGATTTTATTTATTTATTTGACAGAGAGAGACACAGCGAGAGAGGGAACACAAGCAGGGGGAGGGGGAGAGGGAGAAGCAGGCTCCCCACAGAGCAGGGAGCCCGATGCGGGACTCGATCCCGGGACTCCAGAATCATGACCTGAGCCGAAGGCAGTCGCTTAACCGACTGAGCCACCCAGGCGCCCTAATGTGGATGATAAAT